CTCCGCTGGGCCTGCCAGGAGCCAACGAAAGTGGTGACAGTTGCGCAGATCGCAGCCCCCCAGGGCACCGCGAGGTCCCGAGGTGGTCCGCGTGGGACCCACTTCCGCTGGGCCTCCCAGGAGTTCGCGAAAGTGGTGACAGTTGCGAAAATCGCAAGCCCCCAGTGCACCGCGAGGTCCCGAGGTGGTCCGCGTGGGACCCACCTCCGCTGGGCCTCCCAGGAGCCCGCGAAAATTGCGACAGTTGCGCAGATCGCGTCCACCAGGGCACCGCGAGGTCCCGAGGTGGTCCGCGTGGGACCCACCTGCGTTGGGCCTCCCAGGAGCCCACGAAAGTGGCGACAGATGCGCAGATCGCAAGCCTCCAGGGCACCGCGAGGTCCCGAGGTGGTCCGCGTGGGACCCACCTCTGCTGGGCCTCCCAGGAGCCCACGAAAGTCGCGACAGTTGCGCAGGTCGCAGCCCCGAGGGCACCGCGAGGTCCCGAGGTGGTCCGCGTGGAACCCACCTTCGTTGGGCCTCCCAGGAGCCCACGAAAGTGGCGACAGTTGCGCAGATCGCAGCCCCCAGGAGGCGGCGAGGTACGAGGTGGTCCGTGTGGGACCCACCTCCGCTGGGCCTCCCAGGAGCCCACGAAAGTGGCAACAATTGCGCAGATCGCAGCCCACAGGGCACCGCGAGGTCCCGAGGTGGTCCGCGTGGGACCCACCTCCGCTGGGCCTCCCAGGAGCCCACGAAAGTGGCGACACATGCGCAGATCTCGTCCACCAGGGCAACGCGAGGTCCCGAGGTGGTCCGCGTGGGACCCACCTCCGCTTTGCCCCCCAGGAGCCCACGAAAGTGGCGACAGTTGCGCAGATCGCAGCCCCCAGGACACCGCGAGGTCCCTAGGTGGTCCGCGTGGGACCCACCTCCGCTGGGCCTCCCAGGAGCCCACGAAAGTGGAGATAGTTGCGCAGATCGCAGCCCCGAGGGCACCGTGGGGTCCCGAGATGGTCCGCGTGGGACCCACCTCCGCTGGGCCTCCCAGGAGCCAACGAAAGTGGCGACCGTTTGCGCCGGATCACAGGGCCCCCAAGGGGCCCCCCCCTGGCGAGGGTCCCGAGGTTTGGGTCCGCGTGGGACCACATCCGCTGGGGGCCTCCAGGAGCCCACGAAAGTGGCGACAGTTTCGCACTACGCAGCCCCCAGGTCACCGCGAGGTCCCGAGGTGGTCCGCGTGGGACCCACCTCCGCTGGGCCTCCCAGGAGCCCACGAAAGTGGTGACAGTTGCGTAGATCGCAACCCCCAGGGCGCCGCGAGGTCCCGAGGTGGTCTGCGTGGGACCCACCTCCGCTGGGCCTCCCAGGAGCCCACGAAAGTGGCGACAGTTGCGCAGATCGCAGGCCCGAGGGTATCGTGAGGTCCCGAGGTGGTCCGCGTGGGACCCACCTCCGCTGGGCCTCCCAGGAGCCCGCGAAAGCGGCGACAGTTGCGCAGATCACAGGCCCCCCAGGGGGCGGCGAGGTCCCGAGGTGGTCCGCGTGGGACCCACCTCCGCTGGGCCTCCCAGGAGCCCACGAAAGTGGCATAAAGTGGCGACAGATGCGCAGATCGCAGCCCCCAGGGCACCGCGAGGTCCCGAGGTTGCGTCCGGTGGACCCACTCCGCTGGGCCTCCCAGGAGCCTACGAAAATGGCGACAGTTGCGCAGATCGCAGCCACAAGGGCGCCGGCGAGCAGGTCCCGAGGTGGTCGTTTTTTTCCCCGCGTGGACCCCAACCACCTTCCGCCAGGCCTCCCAGGGAGCCCACGAAAGTGGCGACAGGTGCGCAGATCGCAACCCCAGGGCACCGCCCGAGAGGTCTCGAGGTGGTCCGCTTGGGACCCACCTCCGCTGGGCCTCCCAGGAGCCCACGAAAGTGGCGACAGTTGCGCAGATCGCAGCCCCCCAGGGCACCGCGAGGTCTCGAGGTGGTCCGCGTGGGACCCACCTCCGCTGGGCCTCCCAGGAGCCCACGAAAGTGGCGGCAGTTGCGCAGATCGCGGCCCCGAGGGCACCGCGAGGTCTCGAGGTGGTCCGCGTGGTGCCCACCTCCGCTGGGCCTCCCAGGAGCCCACGAAAATGGCGACAATTGCGCAGATCGCAGTCCCCAGGGCACCGCGAGGTCTCGAGGTGGTCCGCGTGGGACCCACCTCCGCTGGGCCTCCCAGGAGCCCACGAAAGTGGCGACAGTTGCGCAGATAGCCCCCCAGGGCACCTGAGGTCCCGAGGGTGGTTTCCGCGTGGGACCCACCTCGCTGGGCTAACAGGAGCCCACGAAAATGCGCAGTTGCGCAGATCGCAGCCCCCCACGGCACCGGAGGAGGCCCGAGGTGGTCCGCGGGGGCCACTCCGCTGGGCTCCAAGGAGCCCACGAAAAGTGGCGACAGTTGCGCAGATTCGCAGCCCCCAGGGGCACCGCGAGGTCCAATGCGACAGTTTTTTTTTTTTTTTTTTTTTTTCTGCCAGATCGCAGCCCCCAGGGCACCGTGAAGTCCCGAGGTGTTCCTCGTGGGACCCACCTCCGCTGGGCCTCCCAAGAGCCCACGAAAGTGGCGACAGTTGCGCAGATCGCAGCCCCCAGGGCACCGTGAGGTCCCGAGGTGGTCCGCGTGGGACCCACCTCCGCTGGGCCTCCCAGGAGCCCACGCACGTTGCGACAGTTGCGCAGATCGCAGCCCGACGGCACGAGAGAAGAGGAGAGGGGGGGACACAGGAGACAGGAGGGGAGGAGGGGGGAGGAGAAGGAAAAGGAGGAGGCCGGGGCGACCACACTGCTCTATTCAAGACGAGTACCCAACCACAGGAGTGTTGGGAACAATTGAGTATTCGAGATACACGAAGAAGAATCACATTCATACGATTCAGAATCCGCCGACCCTGTCGGCGTGTGTGAGGGGCTTTTCCGTTCGAGCCGTCATCTCCGTCATTCTTTGTACTCGTCGTCTCTGTCCTTCCCTTTCCCGGGGAGACCTCTTCCCCTGGGCTCCAGCCAAGCCGACCTTGAGCAACCTCGTAATTGAGTCGAAGGGAAGCCCCTTCCCTTTGATCCCTCCCCCGCCGGGAGGGGGGGGGGGGGTGTCGACCCCCCCCCCGGGTCAGATACGACGCCCCCCCCTGGGACTCCTCTTCCCCTGGGCTCCAGCCAAGCCGACCTTGAGGCCAACCTCGTAATTGAGTCGAAGGGAAGCCCCTTCCTTTGGATCCCCCCCGCAGGGAAGGGGGGGGGGGGGGGGGGTCGACCCCCCCCCCAGGGTGTTTTAGATACGACGGCCCCCCCCTGGGACTCCTCTTCCCCTGGGCTTCCAGCCCAAGCCGACCTGGAGCAACCTCGTAATGAGCGAAGGAGGAAAAGCACCTCCCTTTGATCCCTCCCCCCCGGGTGGGGGGGGGGGGGGGTCGACCCCCCCCCCGGGTCAGATACGACGCCCTCCCCTGGGACTCCTCTTCCCCTGGGCTCCAGCCAAGCCGACCTTGAGCGACCTCGTAATTGAGTGAGCAACCTCGTAATTGAGTCGAAGGGAAGCCCCTTCCCTTTGATCCCTCCCCCGCCGGGAGGGGGGGGGGGGTAGCGACCCCCCCCCCCGGGTCAGATACGACGCCCCCCCTGGGACTCCTCTTCCCCTGGGCTCCAGCCAAGCCGACCTTGAGCAACCTCGTAATTGAGTCGAAGGGAAACCCCTTCCCTTTGATCCCTCCCCCGCCGGGAGGCGAGGGGGGGGTAGGACCCCCCCCCCGGGGTCAGATACGACGCCCACCCACACTGGGATCCTCTTCCCCTGGGATCCAGCCAAGACGACCTTGAGCAACCTCGTAATTGAGTACGAAGGGAAGCCCTTCCCTTGATCCTCCCCGCCGGGGAGGGGGGGGGGGGGTGTCGGACCCCCCCCCGAGTCAGAACGACGCCCCCCCCCCTAGACGCCTCTTCCCCTGGGCTCCAGCCAAGCCGACCTTGAGCAACCTCGTAATTGTGTCGAAGGGAAGCCCCTTCCCTTTGATCCCTCCCCCGCCGGGAGGGGGGGAGGGGTATCGACCCCCCCCCGGGTCAGATACGACGCCCCCCGCCCCCCGCTCGAGCCAAGCCGACCTTGAGCAACGTCGTAATTCAGTCGAAGGGAAGCCCCTTCCCTTTGATCCCCCCCCCGCCGGGAGGGGGGGGGGGTCGACCCCCCCCCCGGGTCAGATACGACGCCCCCCCCTGGGACTCCTCTTCCCCTGGGCTCCAGCCAAGCCGACCTTGAGCAACCTCGTAATTGAGTCGAAGGGAAGCCCCTTCCCTTTGATCCCTCCCCCGCCGGGAGGGGGGGGGGGGGTGTCGACCCCCCCCCCGGGTCAGATACGACGCCCCCCCCTGGGACTCCTCTTCCCCTGGGCTCCAGCCAAGCCGACCTTGAGCAACCTCGTAATTGAGTCGAAGGGAAGCCCCTTCCCTTTGATCCCTCCCCCGCCGGGAGGGGGGGGGGTAGCGACCCCCCCCCGGGTCAGATACGACGCCCCCCCTGGGACTCCTCTTCCCCTGGGCTCCAGCCAAGCCGACCTTGAGCAACCTCGTAATCTCTTGCTGCGCATTGCGAACAGGGTCGGCGGCACCGGCCGTCAGGCCTTCGCAATAAGAGTAACATTACGAATAAGAAACTAGTATTAGTAAGAAGGAGGCGGATAATAATACTACTAATAATATTAGTAAGAATAGCAATAATAATAACAATAGTAATACTAATCATACTAATAATAGTAATAATAACAACAACAATAACAATACTATTCATAATAATACTAATAAGAAGAAGAAGAATACGAACAAATAATAATAATAATAATAATCATGATGCTAATAATAATGATGATGCTAATAATAATAATAATGATAATAATACGAACCATAATAATAATACGAATACTATTTATAAGAAGAAGAAGAAGAAGAAGAAGAAGAAGAGGAGGAGGAGGAGGAATAATATTCCCCCGCCGAGCCGAGGCCCTTCCCTCGGCTGGGCGCCGCGGCGGGCGCCAAGAGGAAGGCCGCGGAGATCTCGTGAGCGCGGCCGAGGGAGCCGGGGGAGGATGGGGAGGGAAGGGAAGGGGAGGATAGGGGAAGAGCGGCAGGATAATGTGAAGGGAGTGGGGGGGCGACGAGGGGGGGACGACGAGGGCGAGGGGGGGGGAAACCAGGAAAAGGAGGAGGAGAAGGACGAGGACGACGAGGACGAGGACGAGGACGAGGACGAGGACGAGGACGAGGACGAGGCATGCGCACAGTGCCCGCGCAGGGCTGCAGTGGCCCGGCGCGCGCGCGCGTGCGGGCGTCTGCGCGGCCCACGGCGGTTTCGGCAAGCCCGTGCGGAAATCGCCCTGCCAGGAGCTCCTCCTCCTCCTCCTCCTCCTCCTCCTCCTCCTCCTCCTCCTCCTCCTCCTCCTCCTCCCCTGGCGACGACGACGGCCACAACGGAGGCGACGGACGCTCGCGCGCACCAGCCGTTCGGCTCTGCCGCCAGAGCGCCGCGCGCGCCCAGGCGCCCCCGCCCCCTCCCCCGCTGGTCGTTTCCTCGTCGCCGCCCGCGCTTCCGCGGCTTGCGCCCTCGGGCTGCCGAGGCCGGCCCCCTGGGGGGAGGTTCCAGGGCTGGAGCTGCAGAGGAGGAGGAGGAGGAGGAGGAGGAGGAGGAGGAGGAGGAGGAGGAGGGGAGGGAGGAGGAGGAGGAGGAGGAGGAGGAGGAGGAGGAGGTTTTCGGGCACTTTCGTGGGCTTCCGCCGGTCTCCCCACGTCGGCGTGCGTTCCAGCAGCTGCGCCTCGCCGAGCGCGCTCCAGGGCTGCCCAGGTCGTCCCGAGCGGCTGCTTGAGGGCCGAGGTATGACCCGACAGCCGAGGGCGGCTGGCCTCCCGTTCCCGCCTCCTCCTCCTCCTCCTCCTCCTCTTTTCCTCTTCCTCCTCTCTCTCTTTCCTCTCCTCTCTCCTCTTTCTCCTCCTCCTCCTTACTACTCCTCCTCCTCCTCCTCGTCTTCCTCCTCCTTTTCCTCCTCCTCCTCCTCCTCTCTCCTCCTTCCTCTCCTCCTCTCTTCCTCCCTCCTCTCTCCTCTTTCCTCCTCCGCCTCTTCCTCCTCCTCCTCTCTCCTCTTTCCTCTCCTCTCTCCTCCCTCCAGCTCTTCTCAAAAGCACCACCTGCAGTCAGCGCGCATGGCAAGGGCAGGTTGCTTTACAAGGGTGCCTTGCCTCTTCGGCCAGTCCTCTGCCGCCTGTTCAAGGCACCCTTGGTGCTGGCGTCCTCCTTTGGCTGCTCGGCGCGACGCTCCTGTGAGGAAGAGCCCTAAGGGCGATGGTTCTATTGTTTTGACAGGCGCCTGTGACCACGTGCGAACCCTACACGTGGGATATCGGACGCTCCCGCTGGGCCTCACTCGGCTACAGGCACCCCTCGAGTTCTGAGTCCTTACCGGGTCTTCAGAAGTCTGACCTGCAGGGGTAGGGTCCACGCGTGGTTGCCCAAAACACCTCCTAACACGCGCCTTGTTCTCGAATGCCATCCAGGAGGCATGGTATACGGTCAGGACGCTGAAGGAATGACCACCTTTGGCTCAATTGGGGATCTGGTCTCCGGGCCGTTCCGTCGGTCCAGGTCGGGGAACCTGTTCGAAACCGAGGTTCGCGCGGACAGGAGCGGCCCTTCGTTCCTCCTCCGGCGTGCTAGAGTCGACCTCGCCATCGCCGACGACAGTCGGGCCGAGGTATAAGATCGAGGTCGGTTCGGGAAGGGTACTCCGAGTTTCTTAATAAGCGTCGGGGGAGCGTCACCCCCGCCGACAGCCCCACATCGAACCCCGTCGCGGGCAGCCACCGCGCGCCGAAGGCGCTCCGACCCCCGTCGCAGCGCGACGACGAGGCGAGGTCGACCCCCGTCGGGGAGTTACCCCCCACGCTTATTAAGATACCCAGAGTACCTTCGTGTTCTTCGTGTCTATTGGATGTTCTTGTGCACCCTGGGGAGAGTACCCTCGGATGCATGTCTTGGCCGACGGAGGGTCGCATGTTCTTGAACGATGTTCTTCTGGCCTAGGTCCGACTGTACAGTCAACGCGCACAGTAAGTATGGGCAGCCTTTCCAAGGGTGCCCTTGCATCCTTGCCCCTTCTTAGCGGCTTTCGCTGGCCAACCTCGTTCGAACAACGTTCACATGGGCCTCCAAGGCCCTTGCATCCTTACCGCGCATCCTTACACGCCGGTCGTTGGAAGTAGGTATTTTTGGATTCCCAGATCCCAATCTACTTCAAGCGCCTTCCTACTTCAAGAATCGGCATGCTTTGGCTGTGTTTTACCTGGACCCATACGGGTTGACTGCACCCACCCCTCGTGCTGGATGCGCGCGCCCCTGCCCTGGCTCCCACATCTCTTCCCACCCCCCGGTGCTCGACGCGCCCGCTCGAGCGCGCGGCCTCGGCCCCCGCCCGTGTGCCCCCTCTTCTCCAAGGGCGCCCTCGAGGGCGCGAAGTTGTTCGCGCTTCGCGGTTCGGCTCCGATTCCTCCTCATCCTCCTCTTCTCCCCTGGGAGGCGGCGCGAGAGCGCGAAGTTATTCGCACTTCGCGCTTCGCGCAGCGCGAAGCGCGAAGTTGGGAGCCCTTGTTCCCCTGCGCCCCCCATCGGCCCTCTGCTCCCCCTGCTCGTCCTCTCTCTCTCTCTCTTGACCTCGCTCGGGCATGTGCACTCTCTCCTCGGCGAAGCCCATCGAGGAGCATCCTGGATCATCTTGCCAAGATCTAGGCCTCCAATATGGTGTCGGAGTAGATGGGGTCGGAGGATCGCGCCGCATCGCCGATGCATCGCCGATGCGGCTCGATGTGGAGCCCGTGTTTTCCCCCCCTCCCCACAACGACGTCGCCAATGCATCGCCGACGTCGCCGATGCATCGCTGATACATCGGCGATACATCGGCGATGCAATGGCGATGCGGCGCGATCCTTCGACCACATCTACTCGGACCCCATCTAGGAGGCCTCTACAAAAGAGGAGCGCGCACGAAGCCGAAGCATGCGCGGGGAATGGGCGTCCGAGCGATGGCGAGCCCTGATCCTGCCTCCGCTCTCTCTCTCTCTCTCTCGTCTGACGCTGCGCCAGCTCGAATCCTCGGGCTGCAGCGCTCCCCCTGCCGCGGCTTGCGCAGGCCGAGGCCCCCCGGGGCCGCCGCGGCCGCCGCAGGCAGGCGGGCCCCGTGGGGGTCGCGCCCGCCTGCCCTCGTCGCCCCCTCGGGAAGCCACGTGCGGAGCCCTACCAGACCACCCACCAGACCACCCCAACCCGACCCGAAGGCCCCGATTTGCCCTCTCCATCTCCCGTGGGGCGCCGGGGAGCATGGACAAAAGCACACATGGAACCCGCTTCCCCCCGACCCGACATTCGGGTCTTGGGGTGGGGTTGGGGTGGTCTGGTAGGCAGTCACGACCCCACCTCCCCCCGTAGGCATCGTGGGGTGGTGGGGCAGGGTTCCGCATGTGGCCTCCTACCCCTGGTTGAATGAAGCGGCATGCACGCCAGTCGTTGAATGTAGGCATTTCTGGATTTTCGGATCCCAATATTCTTTAGGCGCCTTCCTCCTTCAACGATCGAGTGGTTTCACCTTTTCCCTCCTCTTCAGGGGGCGGGCTGAGGCCAAACCAGGTCTGGACCTAAACGGTGTTTTGGCGATTTCGATTTCTTTTTTGCGGTAGAGGTGGATTGAAGAGAAAACGAGGGAAACCGAAAACAAAACGAAAACGAAAAACACAGTTTAGGTTCAGCCCTGGGCCAAACTGCTTTCAGCGCCTTCCAACTTCATGCTTCTGCCCACTTCCGACCGACGGGTAACTCACAAACATTCGGAGCTCCGCGGTGGCCTCTTGGACCGGCGCTGGACCCCCCCCCCCGGCAGCGCCTCTGGCGCCGATCCAAGGAATCCGCGCGGATCGTCCAAAGACAACGTTTATGCAGATGTGTCTTCTTCTACATGAGTCCCTTCAGTAAATATGCTCCTCTCCGCCTAATACTCAATTAGAAGATAACTTAGATTGCATGCATCGAACTGTCCGCGTGTACTGACGCTGCATCTCTGCAGCTGTGATACTGCTCAAACCAGCCGAACTCGGCTGGCAGGAGAGAGAAAAGGAACGCGCTGGGGGGCGCGGGCGATCTGTCGTCGTCCGTCCTCGGCCTTCCTCCTCCCTTTCAATTCCTGCTCGAGTGGTTTAGTTTAGCGGATATCTGTCTTATCAATGTCTCATCTCGCCTCCGCTCTCCCTGAGCAGAGTAAACATGAGATCTCATGTCCTTTGTCATCTTACCCCGATTATCAGAGGAAAGATTGGTTATCAGCCGAAACGCGCGACTCAGTCGACGCGGGGCCCTCATATACAAAAGGGGATATTCAAGTCGTGCCCCGCGATTCAGTCGCTGCGGGAGAGCGCTACGATAAGACTAACATCGTGTCTAATATCTCGAGAAGCGCAGAATGGCGCGTTGAACAAAACGAAGGACACGAAACAGATACAATCGGTCTTGTTCAAGACCGAATCCCTCCTTCGACAATCGCCGATCGGGTCACCAGGGGGAGAAATACTGATGGGATAACCGAAATGTCGGTAGACATGCCCACAGTAGGGGCTCCGATAGGTGATCGTGAGCAAACCCCTGGCCCTCACGGGCGAGAAGGCGTCGCGCCAAGGCCCGGAAGAGGTGCATTCTCTTCCACGTTAAGTGCCAACTCGACGGAGTCGATAAGTCCCCATTCAGAATGCTCCACAGACTATTGCTATTGCCGCTGGCGACGCCAGCCGGCCAGGAGAAGCCCAAGGGAATCCGAGCGCGTATCTTAATATCCCCATAGATTGGGTGGGTATGCGCATTACTGCCCCAACCACTATAGCACTTAACGGACAATTCGGCCAGGATAGCGACGATCCGTTGGACAAAGACCACGAAATATACTCCATGGAAGAAAATTTTGATAGTATCAACAATGATATTTCCCTGAGCCGAGCGTTGTCTGTGATGTTGGATGAGGACATCCCTGCTCGTGA